ATCATGAGCACATTGCACCAGTCATGTGATCTCTTCACTGACTTCCTGTCCCTGCCAGAATCCAGTGCATGCCCTGTCTTCTTACATGCCAGTGCATACACGGCAATGTCCCCCTCTACGTCAAGGAGCTGCTCATTCCACAGATCAAAATCTGTTCTCTCTGTTCCAACAAGACAGAACATCTCTTCAACATCATCTTCAAATTCCAAGAACTGATCTCACCACTAAGAGGGGCCGACCCTTTTCTCCTAGTTTATGGAATTCACTTCTAAACCACCTGAGAGAACCACAGACTGAAGCTGTCAAAAAAAAAAGGATTAAAAATGTTGAAAATTGATTTTAGCCATTTTTACATTTTGTTAATTTATTTAGTTTTTAACCCTTGAAATGTAACATTTTGAGATTTACAAATGCCTTATAAAGATTGGACTTGAAGATTTTTTTAATCAAAGCAGGGCTTGCTCTGTTGAAAATCTTAGAATTTAAAACATTTTATACACTTTTGAGAGCTTGAACCCACTGGAGTCAAAACCAGCCATTGGTGAGTGTTTTTTTTTTTTTTTAATATATATAAAACTAGTTGTTGTTTTGTTTTTTTGCTGATAAAATTTATATCCATATTATTTTTACCCATGTCACAAAATGGCCAAAACATCCTTATTATTGGCATCTGAATTCAAAGAAAGAACATCCTTAGCTTGGCTACAACATTTTCCTATAACAAATGTGACTTTTTAATTATATTTTCTATACAATTTTAGTCCAATTATTAACCAGTTCAGCACACAAAGTTTGACAGGATCAGGATAAAGTCAGACAGATGTAGAAAAACCAGCAAAACAATGTCCTCATTCTGGTTTTGTTTTCTAAGAAAAATAATAATTGTGGGTGTGAATGAAATAGGCTGCTGTGTAGTTGTTTCTAAAATGCTCCATATCTCAACTCCCAAGATACCAAAGTGGAGTTCTTAAAAATCAATGTTTTTCTCACCAAAATTTCTGTTTCTGTGAACAAGATGTACAAACACAAACAGAAAAGATCCCTTTTTAAAAACATCCAGAGTAGTGTGGACGGGTCTTGTGCCCATGTGGTTTATGCTGTCTCAACTACACAGATGGTACTCCACTGGTGAAGAAATATTTTTGGTGAGGTCTGGAACACTTTATATGCAGCTGCTTTATGTTTTTACTGCAGCTTCTGTGGTGTGACATATTCAGGCTAACTAGACAGTTCCCTTCTTGACCAAGTTCCTTTAATTACTTGGAAGGATTGTCAGGGGCTGTGGTAGCTCGGTGTCAGCGCCGCGGTCTTGTAATCCTGAGGCTGCAGGTACGAGTTTGCTCACTGTGATGACCCCTGCACAAGGAAGCAACCAGAAGAAGAACAACTTGGAAGGATTGTCAAGTCAAGTCATATTTATTTATAGAGCACAATTTAAAACAGATAGACTGTTATCAAAGTGCTTAACACTAATGGTAACACTAAGAAATAAAAAGCAGTAAGAATATACCTTAAAAAATTAAAACAACAGCATTAAAATGAAGACATGGAACAAGATATACTAAATCAACTCACACAGTATGAAACGCCAGAGAGAACAGTTATGTTTTTAGCAGGGATTTGAACACAGGAAGGGAGGTGGCATGCCTAATGTTGGGGGGTAGGTTGTTCCACAGTTTGGGACCCATGACTGAAAACGCCCGATCTCCTCGGAGCTTCAGTCGTGTTTTTGGAACAACCAAAAGCTGCTGATCGGATGATCTCAGAGCCCGAGAGGGAACATATGGTTCCAGTAGCTCAGAGAGGTAGATGGGTGCGAGGCCATTTAGGCACTTATAGGTCAGGAGGAGAATTTTGAAATCAATCCTAGTTCTCACAGGAAGCCAGTGTAGGGAGGACAGAACTGGTGTGATGTGCTCATACCTCGGTGTACCAGTTAAGAGCCGAGCTGCAGCATTCTGGACGAGCTGTAGCCGTGAGATAGAGGCCTGGCTGACCCCAGCATACAGTGAATTACAATAGTCCAGGCGGGTTGTGATGAATGCATGGACTAGTGTCTCAAGGTCGTGTCTAGACAGCACTGGCTTGAGCTTAGCTACCTGCTGCAGTTGGAAGAAGCTTCTCTGCAGAACCGAACTGATCTGTTTGTCGAACTTAAAATCCGAGTCAAAAACCACTCCGAGGTTTTTAACAGAGTGCTTCAGATAAGGCTGAAGGGAGTCCAGGTTCACAGGATAAGAGGCGGCAGCTGAGCTAGGGCTAAAGACAATGACTTCAGTCTTCTGGTCGTTAAAACTTAGAAAATTTGAAGCCATCCATGTCTTAATGTCGTCCAGACATTTGAGGAGAGGGTGGATGGAACAAGCACTGGCTGGTTTCAGTGGATTGTCAACAGTGACTTCCAATATTTGACACTGGTGACATACCACCACACTCTTATTGACCAGTGCTACCACAACCAGAAGTTTAATGTTAGATTTATCACATGAAGTAAGTGCTTTATTTCAACACAGTTCTCACCAGTTCCTTCACTATGTTGGTAGGTTCCACCCAGGTTCAGCCCATCCTGCAGTTTCCTCTGTACTGCCAAACCATCACTGTACTGTGGCTTGCACAGATGGACCCACTTACACCCAAACACACAGTCCTTAAAAATCCAACAGTGGTGGTGTACCACTAACCATTCAGACAGAGATTCCTTTTACTCTCTCCTTCCCCTTCTTCTGTTTATTAGCCATCACAGTCCTTTTCTCTGCTCTTGTTTAACTCTCTCTGTATTCTCGTCTTCTCTTACAACTTCATTGTTGCAATTACACTTCCCTCGTTTTTATAAACCACTGAAAAAAGTGATCAAACTGCAGATTGTTACGATTGAGTAGGAAGTAAAGATTGTGTTTTTTTAGGCGATTAGGCAGTTGAGACACATGCATATCTGAACCTCTGGTATTTTATTTTAATCCCAGGAAATTCTCTCCCTCAACCAAGGCAACAATATAAACTATAAATTTGCTAAAGACATTTTAAAGGGTTCAAACTACTTCTAAAAAATCCAACATTCTTCAGCTTTCTTTTCTAGAACGCAGTAGTAGCTTGGGAGTTGCTTTTATAGCAATGTAAGTGAATAAAATGCCAGTGTTTTGATGTATAAACTGTTATAAGTGGAAAAGACTATCAAGATAAAATAAAAATATTAAAGTTGCTGTCAGTGGCTTCTTGGCCTCACCTGAAGGGTGATGATGTCACACATTAACTTTTGTGTGTCTAAACGTTCTGAATTCTTTAACAAACTTCTTATTTCCACATTCTTCCCCCTTCTTTTACAGTTTATACATTAAAGCATGGTAACTGTGCATGTGTGCCTCACACTGTACTTTGGCTATATGACAGCCAGTACAACCTCACCTTACAACTTGCAGTCCTCAGTGAGAGGTTATGTGTGTGCACTCTGCGCTCAAAAGGGATTTGAGAGCAAAACACAAGCAGTGGGAGACACACTGGGTGATATAAAACAAAAATGCCCATGCTTTAATGTATAAACTAAAAGAAGGGGGAAGAATGTGGAAATAAGAAGTTTGTTAATGAATTTAAAATGTTTAGACACACAAAAGTTAGTGTGACATCATCACCCCTTTAGGTTAATTAAACAATCCATGACACAACCTTTATCAAACTTAAAGTGAGGTTGTGTAACAACAATTAAAGATTTAAAAATCATTCAGTTATTTAAAGTGTGACTTTATGTCACCTGCTTATACTTTGACTCATGTTTCTGCTTTAGAGGACGTCTGAGCTATAAAGTTTTGAAAACTGTAGGCTGTTCCTACTTGAGCTCTACGTTTTGCTCTATATTTAGTATAGGATTTTCCAAAACTGTTTGAAGAGTAATGAATCAAAAAATAACATCCATCCATCCACCCATCCATCCATGATCTTCTGCTTATTCTGAAGTCAGGTCTTGGGGCAGCAGCTTGAGCAGGGAGGCCCAGACATCTCTTTCCACAGCCACCTCTTCCAGATCTTCTTTGAGGATTCCAAGGTGTTCCCAGGCCAACCGAGAGATGCAGCCTTTCCAGCGTGTCCTGGGTCTTCCCTGGGGTCTCCTCCCAGTCAAACATGCCCTAAGCACCTCCCTAGGGAGGAGCCCAGGGAGCATCCTTACCAGATGCCCGAACCACCTCAACTGTCTCCTGATAACTGAACTTCTCACCCTATCTCTAAGGCAGAGTCCAGCTACCCTGCAGAGGAAACTCATTTCAACCTTCCAACATTTTTCAATCAGGTCATCTGTCAAACTGGTCCAGATGACCTGACTGAAAAATGTTGGATTGTATACCTGGATTATTTAGCATGGACTTTGTTGTTTTCAAACTTCTGTATCCACAATCTTATCCTTTTGGTCACTACCCAGAGTTCATGGCCATAGGTGAGGGTAGGAACGTAGACTGACCAGTAAACAGAGAGCTTTATCTTACAGCTCAGCTCTCTCTTCACCACAACGGACCGGTACAGAGTCCTCTATACTGCAGACGCTGCACCAATCCATCTGTCAATCTCACGCTCCATTCTTCCCTCACTTGTGAACAAAACCCAGAGATACTTGAACTCCTCCACTTGAAGCAGAACCTCACCCTCGACCTGAAGAGAACAATCCACCTTTTCCAACTGAGGACCATGGCCTCAGATTTGGAGGTGCTGATTCTCATCCCATATATTGTGTATAGGATTTTCCAAAACTGCATAAGTAGAAATTAATCAAAATAGCAGCTAAATAAAAAAATATAGCTAAATAGTGACAAGGGCATCCTTATAGAGTTCAAACTTTAAAACATCTCTGCACCTTTTAGCAACTTAGGGTTGACAAACACCATGTCTCAAGCCTAAAGTGTTCTGGTGTCGACTCCTATGTCTGAAAAGGAAGCCGACTTTTAGAAGCTAAGCTCAGCAAGTGAGATGGAAAGCCAAATGCCATTTACCTTTCTGTTTTTCTCTTTTCTTCTCAGATTTGAATGAGTGTGAGCTTCTGAGCAACGTATGTGGGGAGGCCGAGTGTGTGAACAAAGATGGTTCCTTCCTCTGTTTGTGTCCCAATGACCATAAATATAATGTCATGGTAGCAAAGTGTGAACCTGTTCCCAAAGGTAAGCCACCTTCCATCTGACCCACGAGCTGTTGTCATTACACAAAAACATCATGTCGAACTGCAGACATGGGGGGAAAAAAGGATGTTTTAAGTTATTGTGGTTGAACTGCATGCGGTTTCATCTAAAAAGGAAAACTTGTATTTTCCTGCCAGGATCTCATTTAAAGTCCTCAGCTTTACTGAAATGCCGTGGTAGGATGTAGAGAATCATGCAGAAACAAATTCACATGCAGAAAAGTGGGCAAAAGTCTTCCAAAACTAAAATGTTTGTTTCATCAGAAGCTTCCAGCTACTCGTGTGCAGTGCTGCAGTGGATAGTTCAGCTCGGTGTGAAAATACGTTTGGATGACAGATGAAATTCCATGGGCCTTGAAAACTCTTTATTGCTGCAGCAGTGTAGTTGGAGAAGGTTAGCAGAGATCAACTGTTTCCACTTTGTGCTCATTTTCCTCCCCTCCCTCCATTTATCTTTCAGCATCTCCAGTGGAGCGGAAGGAGTGCTACTATAATCTGCACGATGAGAACCTGTGTGAGAGTGTGCTGACCAGTCACGTCACACTGCAGGAGTGCTGCTGCACGCTGGGAGCCGGCTGGGGGGACAACTGTGAAGTATATCCTTGTCCCGTCAATGGTACAGGTGAGTCAGAGAAATGGGTAGAGGTCCAAAGCTGTCGACAATTAAAGTACACAGTTAATAGCGGATGAAGGAAGAAATGTTTTCACAAAGTTATCTGATCAAAAATAAAAGTGCATGGCAAAAGACTCAAAACTGAGAATTAGACAAAGAGCTACGACAACCATACGTATTTACTGGGAGTGGTATTTTTATTTTTAATAACCAGTGATTGGTGGCTGCCACAGACAACTGACCTTAAAAAACACACAAATGTCTGTTACTCAGTTAGTCTTACAGATGCTGACCTAGAACTTTGTGTTTTCAAATCTGACTCATCCCCAACACATATCTGAGCAATCTAAACAGACTGTGCAAAAATAAATAAATAAATAAATACCAGTAAATAAAAAATGTCAATTATTATTTTGGGTTAGCCCTGTCTGAAAAATATTTTGTCACCTACTGGACAGATTTTGTTGAAACTTTCAGAGTAATCACTGGAACTTCATCTTTCAACGGACTATACTGTATGTAGACTCTTAAATTCCTTGTTGCTGCCCTTTCAGACCAATTCAGCCAGATGTGCCCATCAGGAAGAGGTTTTATTCCCAGTGAGGACTTGCTTTATGGGATACCATTTTCTGATAGTTACAAAGGTAAGAAATCCATACAGCTATAAAACATGAAGTCTTTGTAAGCTGTTTGCAAACTGTATAAGTTCAGTTTGTGAGTGTTTTTACTTTCAGAGCACTCATGGTCAAGGACTGACAGACATTCTATTTTCTGTCACGGAACATCTTAATATTTTTTGCTCAAGCTTTTTGTACTAAATGGAACCTATTCAACACAACAAGGCTCTACCACTGCTCACAGGCTGTTTTCTTTCTGGATGTTGTAGATGCAGATGAATGCACACTGTTTGGTCAGGAGGTGTGCAAAGGAGGCTACTGCAAGAACACTGAGGGAAGCTACGAGTGTTACTGCATGGGGGGACATTACTACGACCCTGTCAAGCTGGAGTGCAGAGGTGAGAGTGACGCACACCAAAAGGTGAGGACGTGTTGTGTTTGAATGTGTCTGACTGCTTCTGTCTGCTTCTCTTTCCTGTAGACATCAACGAGTGTTTGGATGAGTCACTGTGTGAGGGTGGACAGTGTCAGAACACGGATGGCTCATACATCTGCATGTGTAAACATCCCATGGTGTTGGGCCCAAACACCAACAACTGTGTCTTTGTTCCTGATGTGGCTGGTAAGACTCCCCCTGTGGAAAACTATGTTAAATCTTCAAGCCATGATGTTGTCCTCATGTAAGTTTTAACATTTACAGACATTTTAACCAAAATGTTTTTGTTATTTTTTTTTTTCACCTTCAAAGCCTTTTTCAAAACTTAAACCAGAATGAGCTAGATTTGCCCATTGAAGGCCTTGTCACCGAAACATTGCAACCCCTGCAATAGAGATACACTGGAATGGTCATGTAAAGGTGCTCAGCAAGACTCAAGGCCGCCATCTTGCTAGATGCCATGCTTATCACTCTGTTACCTGTTGAAACCACACATTGTTAACATCTGGTGTGTATGTTATGTCATCAGTCCTAAAATGCATAGCAATAGCGTTATGTTACCTAAATATATGGGCCGAGATGGGGTAGAGGTAGGGCAGCTGACTGGGGACCAGAAAGTGGTGTTTTGACTCCCAGCCATCCCCACATGTCGTGGTGCCTCTGAGTAAGACACCTTTTCCCAAATTGTTCTCTGGGTGCTTACACAGCTGCCCATGCTCCACCTGTGTCTCTCAGGTGTGATGGGTTAAATGCAGAGAAATAATTTCACCATTGTATGGGAACATACAGTGATGACCATCTCAGACTTCCCTTCCCCCCCTTCCCCATATATCTTGCATACTGTAAAAACAAAAGTAGCGAAGCACCAGGTCAGCATTTTGCCAATCCGATGCTCTACTACTTTTGTTCTTCTGTGATGAAAATACCTAGTGCTGTAGTCATTGTAGCCAGACCAATACACTTTACAGAATTAAGTATTTTACTCATCCACTTATTTTAACCAAAGCTTTGCCACATGTCTGTACACTTAGACTAATAAATTAAACTTACAGTATATGAGATACAATCTTTATCATATAACTCTGGACATATTTTGGTCTTAACCAACATGTATGTTACCATTAGACATATATATCTGAGTTTTTGTCTAACCTATACACAGATTTACTAATATATAGCATAAACAGGATGTTTAAAATGTGTAAAATATCTTTGTTTACTAATGTGTATTATTTAAGACAATATGTTACTAATATTAAATGAGATATTTTGAGTTGCCTCTGATGCTTCTTCACAGTAATTATCCAAGTTTAGCCCAGAGAAAGCAGCAACCCCTGATAAAATAATTCAGTGAGGCAGACTAGCACTAGACACAAGTTCAGTGTTGACTCGAATGGAAACAAAGTTTGTGAGGAACATTCCTGTGCAGACAGTTAACACTGATGTGTTTGTAGAGCAACATGAGATGGAGCAGACGGACTATCAGGGTATCTGCTGGCAGATGGTGACACAAAGTCTGACGTGCACACGCCCACTAGGGCCCAACAGAAAGACAACGTACACCGAGTGCTGCTGCCAGCATGGAGAGGCTTGGGGCATGGACTGTGCCTTGTGTCCTCACAGGAGCTCAGGTACACCCCCCACCCACACACACACGTGTCGTCCTCAGAATGTGTTATTAGTCTCACCTTCAATAACAGTAGTCCCTTGTTTATCGCGGGGGATCCCTACTCTGAAGTCCTGAGATAAGTGAAAAACCGCGAAGTAGGAATAAAAGTAGTAAGTAGTAGTTTATTTTTAGTATATAAATAAGTATTCATTCAACCTTTATTTAGACTGGTTAATCCCATTGAGCCTCGAGGACTCTCTCTCTCTCATACACACATACACACATACATATATACATACATATACATATAT